ATCCGTTGTAGCCCCTTTTTTAGAGATTTGGGTATGGAGGTAAATAGAGAGGGTTGTGTTTTCTGACACTTGGTGAGTTCCCTGGAACACCGGGGACACATATTCATGTATAAAAGACGTACAAAAGTGCATTTTGCATGATAGGTCCCCTTTAAAGGTAGGGTAGGTAATTTGAGATACCGGCTCGAGATCGCTAGAATTTGAAAATACACAACCGGAGAAAATCTGCCACTTCCTTACAGAGCCCCTCCTCCAACACACACGAACGCGCACATGACCAATGAGGGCACGAGATAAGTTTGTGCACAGATGGAAGGCTGACAGGCAGGTAGGCCATCCAGTTATTTTAGCCGGGCTGGCTAAAATGATTGGTCGTACTTTTTACAGTATTACGGCTTCCACAGATTACATTTTTTAATGGATTTTTTGTCAAAGCACTTCAGATATTCATTGCTATCGGGATGTTAAGAGCATTCCATGGAATATAACAAAAAGTGTATCTCGAGCCGGTTTCTCAAACTTACCTACCCTAACTTTAACAGGTTAAAGGGGACCTAGTATGCAAAATGCACTTTTTGATGTCTTTTATGCATAAATATGTGTCCCCGGTGTGTAAGGAGACTCTCAAATATTCAGAAAATACAACCCTCTCTCTTTTCCTCCTTACCCACATCTCTGCAAACGAGCAGATCCAGGATTTGGCTCCTATGACGTCATTGGTGAAATGTGGCACACGAGACACGTCCCAATCTATCGTCTCCGGCACACGTGACACGTACCAACCTATCGTCACCGGCACACGTCCCAACCTATCGTTTCCGGCACACGTGCCACGTCCCAACCTATCGTCTCCGGCACACGTGACACGTCCCAACCTATCGTCTCCGGCACACGTGACACGTCCCAACCTATCGTCTCCGGCACACGTGACACGTCCCAACCTATCGTCTCCGGCACACGTGACACGTCCCAACCTATCGTCTCCGGCACACGTGACACGTCCCAACCTATCGTCTCCGGCACACGTGACACGTCCCAACCTATCGTCTCCGGCACACGTGACACGTCCCAACCTATCGTCTCCGGCACACGTGACACGTCCCAACCTATCGTCACCGGCACACGTGACACGTCCCAACCTATCGTCACCGGCACACGTCCCAACCTATCGTTTCCGGCACACGTGCCACGACCCAACCTATCGTCTCCGTATACAGTCGTCTAGCTCAGTAGTTCCCAACCGTTTTCAGTCAGGCCCCCCTTGTGTAATTGGAAATATTTTCGAGCCCCCCTTAATCCGGTTCCCACCGAGATTGGTAGAATTAATTGTATATAGTTGTACAAACATTACATTTTCTCTGCTAATAATTACAAGACAGTAATATGGTCTGTGTTTACATTAGCAAGCATGCTAACACTCAGAGCTAATGCTGTAGGCTACTGGAGAGAATATGTGTAACGTAATGTCCTTGCGGTAAACCCTGCGAGAGAGAAAGGTTTGAGCTCCTACTGTTTCATAAATAATGCTTGAAGTAGTTTGGAACATAATATGGCATTTAATCACGGCAGCTTTTAGCTGAGTTTCTCCCGGTAGAAAACTCTCTTAGCAGGGGAGAGCTGCGTGACGCTACAAAGGGGCGTGGCTAGCAGCAGCTGTTCCATTTAAAGCTACGGTCACAGAATCAGCCTTTTTGGAACAGGGCTGGAATAGAGGGGTATGAGGCATGGCTACAATGGGTGATCTGTTTGGTATTTTAAGCAAAAAACTTCACAGTCATGTTTTGTATAGGTATGGCCCTACAATATATTTTTAGTACGACCATTCTATAGGCGTAGTGTAGCTGTGAACGATCCCAAATACAATTCATTGTTTACATTGCAGCTAGTGCTAAACCAGAAGAAATAACCCCTTTTCATTTTTAACTGGAAGTGGAATGGGGCTGGGCTATGTGAGGTGAATTGAGCCAACAAAAATACACAATAGGTGGGACTAAGAAAGATAATATTAAAGTATAAAAACAAAGGCATTATTAGGGCTGAAAATGTCTCCCGTTTTAATGGTGATTAGATTTTTAAATGCTAACACTTAACAGATTTTTCTGACTGTGTGTTTCCTGTTTCCTGTAGATGTCCAGCAGCTGGTGGTGGTTAAAGAAGAGGTTCTCCCTGACCAGCAGGAGTGGAGCACCAGTCTGGACCAGGAGGACCCAGAGCCCCCCCCACACATTAAGCAGGAACAGGAGGAACTCAGGATCAGTCAGGAGGGAGAGCAGCTTCAGGAGCTGGAGGAGACTGATATCACCAAGTCCACTTTCACTCCTGACCCTGTGAAGAGTGAAGATGATGAAGAGAAACCTCAGTCCTCACAGCCTCATCAAAGACAAACTGAACACATGGAAACAGAAGCTGATGGAGATGACTGTCGAGGACCAGAACCAGCCAGGAACTCAGATCCAGAGAGCAGTTTACAACCAAAGACTGAACCTGACACTGGAGACTCTTCTGAACCTGACACTGGAGACTCTTCTGAACCTGACACTGGAGACTCTTCTGAACCTGACACTGAAGACAGTGCTGATTGGAAGGAGACCAGAGAACCTGCATCAGGCTCAAACTCACTGAAAAATAGACATGAATCTGTCAGTGATCCACGACGTAGTGCTGAAAAGAAACCATTCAGCTGCTCAGTCTGTAAGAAAGCTTTTCCACGGAGTGGACGTTTAAAGAGACACATGAGAATCCACACAGGAGAGAAACCACACAGCTGCTCAGTCTGTAAGAAAGCTTTTTCAGAGAGTGGAAGTTTAAAAAAACACATGAGAGTCCACACAGGAGAGAAACCACACAGCTGCTCAGTCTGTAAGAAAGGTTTTTCGCTGAGTGGAAATTTAAAGATACACATGAGAGTCCACACAGGAGAGGAAATATACAGCTGCAATGTTTGTGACAGAAGATTTAAATGGTGTAATTCTATCAAAAGACACAAGTGTGTTGGTCGTCAGTCCTCAAAGCTTAATGAAATTCAAACTGAGGATAACAGAGAGGCAGAGCCTCCAATCAGCAGCTCAGCTAAACACACAGAAGCTGATGGAGAGGACAATGAATAAGTCTTATGACAGTTCACACATGAGAAAAATCTGCCTGACTGGATCAACATTGTTGCACAACATTCATATAAGACTTAAACAAACTCTATCTTTATCAACATAAGTGGACAATATGTTTAATGTTTTTGTCATACTGATTTTCTGATTTATACGTTAACCACTGACTGTTGATGAACCATTTCATTGTGGATTGAGGGCTCCAAGTTTCCATATACAGATATAGGGTGATTTGATGTATTGTTCTTTATTTGTAAATGTTTTGTATCATTGCTATCCTGTTAATGAGCGCTCTTTTACATAAATATACCTGTTATCTGATTGTTTTTGCTTCTGTAATTGTAAGCGAACACATTTGCCTATTTTGTATCCTGATGACCTAATGCCGTTACATGTGATACGTTAGAATAGAATATCTTTATTGTCATCACACATCAGTGTAACAAAATTCAGTTGGCTTCTCTCACTGCAGTACATAAGAACACATCCATACAAGCAGTGATAAAGCAGAGATAGTAGCAATAATCAGGGTCATCATTAAATGCACTTTACCAGAATGTTAAAATACATTTTTAAAGATGATTTAATAAAGAAAAGCTACAATTTGATACTTAATAAATATACAAATAAATAACATGATATCTTTGGCTGCAGTCTTTGATGGGAGGTAGTGTGTTTGTGTGCATGTTCAAAGTTATAGTGTGTTTTGTGGTTGGACAGGGATGGGAGTGATGGAGGCCACAGCTCTGGGAAAGAAGCTGTTCTTCAGTCTGTTGGTGCGTGATTTTATTGACCTGAACCGTCTGCCGGACGGCAGCGGTTCGAACAGTGAGTGGCCGGGGTGTGTGATGTCTCTGATGATACTGCTGGCTTTCTTCTGCAGTCGACTTTTGTAGATGTTGCCAAGGTTGGCAACATCTACAAAAGTCGACTGCAGAAGAAAGCCAGCTCAGTCCCAACGATGCGCTGAGCAGCCTTCACCACCCGTTGCAGGTCCTTCCACTCTGCAGCTGGTCTACCACACAGTTATGCAGCTGGTCAGGGTGCTTTCAATAGTCGACCGATAGAAGTTTACCAGCAGTTTTTGTGGAAGCCTGGCCTGTCTCAGTTTCCTCAGGAAAAACAGTCTCTGCTGTGCCTTTTTCACCAGGTTTGAGGTCCAAGTTAAATGATTGGAGATGTTGACTCCAAGGAACCGTAGCTCCTCCACGCTCTCCACTGCTTCTCTGTGGAGGGGAGATGGACCAGCTAGTCTTATTGCGCATTTCCAACACACGGTCGGCCTCGGCCACGCTCGGTACTGCTTGGCCGCGTTGGGCCTTAACAGGGCCGGCTCACTTCATGCTGCGCTTCCATTACAGTTTAGGAACTGGGGTAGTTACTATAGTAACGCAGTGTAGGCGGAGCGACGCTGCATACAACTGCCGTGACGTCATCTTCAATGCGACACAACTCACGAAACACGCAACATTGGAGGATGTGGATGCCATCGTTTCCTTGTTTCTGTGTCTGGTGTTTTATCACAGCAAGAAGGAACACTTTCTTTCGGAAAAGGTGGCTTATAGCAAGACGTAATAGAGAAGAAGCTCATGGGAGACTTATGGCAATCGCAGAAAGCGGCAGAGACTACTCCAGCACGACTCAACGCTACTCGGTAAGCTAACGTTCGCTAACTAGCAATGTGTTTCACGCTCACTATACGACCAAAGTGTTTCAAGTATTTAATTAATTGTAGCTACCACTTTTACGTATTAAAATATGTATGCTTTTGTTTGTGTATTTCAGAAGTTAGGTCGCCGCCGCAGACCATGTGTTTGGATGCTCGACCGAGCTACCGAGTGGTGGGGTGTGATTGTTCCATCTTTCACAGACACTCAGTGGGTTGAGAACTTCAGGATGTCAGAGGAAACCTACGTCTACCTGTGCAACAAACTGCGGCCAGCGATGGAGAGACAGGACACAGCATTCCGCAAGTGTATACCTCTAAAGAAGAGGGTGGCCATCGCACTGTGGAAGCTTGCGACCGGCTCAGAGTACAGAAGCATTGGACATCTTTTCGGAGTGAGCCACACAACTGTGTGCCGGTGTGTGCAAGACTTCTGTGCTGCTGCAGAGACGTTGTTAGTACCGGAACTAATTCGTTCACCAGACCGGGAGAAGTTTGCAGAAATGGCCGACTACACTGAGCAGAGGTGGGGGCTCCCTCAGTGTGTAGGTGCTATTGATGGATCACACATACCCATCTTGGCACCACAGGAATACCACTGCAACTATTTCAACCGTAAAGGCTGGCACTCCATCATCCTTCAAGGAGTTGTAGATGGAAAGGGACATTTCTGGAATGTGTTTGCAGGAATGCCTGGGAGCTTGCATGATGCTCGGGTTTTGAGGCTGTCCTCATTGTGGGAGTTGGCCAGTCGAGGCAACTACTTTCCACCTTGCACCAGGAACATTGGTGGGGTGAATGCTGGCTATTACATCCTGGGAGACAATGCCTATCCCTTGCAAAACTGGCTCATGAAAACGTTCCCTGACAATAGACAGCTGACAGCAGAACATGTGATCTACAACAAGAACATTTGCAGAGCACGGGTAGTGGTCGAAAACGCTTTTGGTAGACTGAAGGGAAGGTGGCGTTGCCTCATGAAAAGAAATGACTGTGATGTGAAACTTGTGGAATCTATGGTGCTGACATGCTGTGCTCTGCATAACCTCTGCGAGAGTCATGAAGAGGCCTATGATGATGAATGGGATGCACCAGCAGCAGCAGTGGCACAAGGTGCAGAGTAGGGGGGCACTGAAATAAGAGAGGGTTTGATGCGCTACCTGAATAGCAATTGAAAGATTGTGGGCCATTAAGGGTAGTGACATTTTGTTTTGTGTTTATTATTACTACATTGTGTTGAACATAAATACATATTTTTTTCTCTTTCACATACATGTGTTTGTCAAATGATTTAAACCAAAAAAAATTATCAGAATTGACTATTTAGTAAATATTTGAATTTCAAGTACCAGTAAGTACTGCCCCATAATAAGAACATTTGAGCAAATATCAGATCCTGAAAAGAAAATCTCTAATAAATTAAGCAAATATCCAAGTAAACTATAAACATAAATACAAATGATCTCTTATCCTCCTCTTTCTGTTTTTTTTCGAAATACCCCCTTCCAGTTTATAAAAGGTAGTCTTTGACTTTAAGTAATGATGTGTCAGTTACCAAACAATGTTTTAGAGGAGGACCTCAAGCTAGCAAACTATTTCTTGCTTTAAATCTCTTCTTAAAATTCACTTTTTATCTTATGGGCTTTTTCCTAACTGGTGTTTCTTATTGCTTTATAAATTCATGTACCATGTTAGATCCGCATAAATGTTATTAGTAGCCTATTTTTATTATTATTTAGAACAAATATAGGCCTATAACTTCTGCCTCAAAATGATGTGAATCTGAATTTGTTTTAAACGTTGGACTACGACACAATTCTCAGTGTTTTTGTTCTGCTGATTTAAAGCCCTTTAATGAAACGTGTACATTTCATTTCAGTTTATGATTGGATTCCAAAACTGTGTGTTTGTGTGTGAGTGGCAACCCAGTGACTTTGTTTACATGCTCACGAAAATCAGTTTGTTAATCAGATTATGGCAGGAAATCAGATGATGCATTTATCAACAAGAGATAAGATGAGAAGTACTTTATTGAATCCCAATTTGGGAAGTGTTTTAGTTGCAGCATAAAAAAGGCATGGCATTGTACAAAAAACAAAAAACAAATATGTGTTGCAGCAGCATAAAAAGGCATGGCATTATAAAAACAAAAAAGAAAGATAAGACATAAACAAGAAAGTACTGTACTAATGTGGCAATTACAGAGGTGGTTCGTCTTCCTGAAGAGACGGGCCACGTAGGCTGTCCACAACCTGGCCAAGAGTGCGCAGGAAGGCTAAGTTAAATGCCTGAGTTTGAGCGTTCTCCTCCCTTCTCAAGGCCATTTCCTCCTGCATTGCCCGGGCAGTAGCCTCCATGGTCAGCTGCCAGTGTCGATCCACCTGGGCCAGGTTCCGTTCATGGTGCCGTTCCTCCTGTGCTAGGTGCTCGTCTCCTCCTCGTTTCCTCTTGCCTGTATGATGATAAGATAATTATAGCAATAAGAATTAGCAATAAGAATGAAAAACACAGGACAGGTACAGGTCACACAAGTATATAAGAATAAAATGTATAAGCAGAACTACAGTAAGGATGAACTAAAGACAGTTATGCCCTAGATGTTTACAATGATTGTGAAAGTGAATTACATTATGTCCAGCCTGTTGATAATGAATATAAATATATGTATATAATAGGATGTCACACACAATTGTACTTGCTGCTTACTAGCTAGTTACTTACTTGTAACAGAGCACTTCCACACAGTGGTATAGCTTATTTTACTTACTGACGATGGATGATCTAAAGTTTAAAAAAAGTCACAATTGCAGTCGTTTTGCCATGCCTATTTCTTACCTAGAACCACACGCTGCGGTGTCGTGATGGCACTCGTCGTTGGTGGTTGAGTTGGTGTCGGTTGTTCGGCTGGTGTCTGTGGTCGAGTTGGGGTCCCTTCTGGATTCGATGACGAGGACGGATCACCCGTTGTTCGGGACTGTTCCTCCTCACTAGTTTCATCTATGGCATCATCTAGAACAGCAACATGACTTGTTAATTCCACAAACTACTGCAGCACAATACTAAATAGCAACAACAACAGTAGAAAAGAAAAACTGAACGTAAACAATGGCACATGTGGTGGTAGCAAACAATAGCTCTCCCTTACGCAAAGAAAATATATTTCCCCATATATTAACTGTCAATATATTGCATTATTTTGTTTTCTGATTTACTGGTTAATTGAAAAGATTTAATAAAGGAAATCTTGCTGTTGGCTACACCAAGTGATACTGATTAATAATCAACATGAAAAACATATTTATTCATATCTACAAAATATATTGAAAATATATTGAAGATATATAGAATAATATATTGTGTTAATATATTACAATATATATATATATTGAATAATATATTGTGATAATATATTGTAATATATGTGATAATACATCAGTAATTGCCGCTTTCCATATATTGAGTAATATATGTAAATATATATAATATATTGGTTGTGTATATATGTGAACATACATTTACTATATATTAACATTTATATGGGGACATGTACTATATATATTCACAAATATATGGGGACATGTATGTACTATATATTCAGATTTATATGGGGACATGTATGTAGAATATATTCACAATTATATGGGGACATGTACTATATATATTCACAAATATATGGGGACATGTATGCGCTATATATTCAGATTTATATGGGGACATGTATGTAGAATATATTCACAATTATATGGGGACATGTACTATATATATTCACAATTATATGGGGACATGTATGCGCTATATATTCACAATTATATGGGGACATGTATGCACTATATATATTCAGATTTATAAAAGACCATGTACGTACCATATATTCTGAACATGAGTGCAATATATGTTCACAATGAGGAGAAATGCATGTTCTGATAAAAAAAATCTTTCATTTCATTTCAAACCTTTATTTATGCAAGTGAATCCCATTGAGATCATTGATCTCTTTTTCAAGGGTGACCTGCTACAAGTAGGTTCCACATGAATACATATAAACATAACAGAAAAACAAAAAAGGACATCATACAGCATATTTACAGTGACTACAGTTTACATAGCTAGTAACATTTACAGGTTCCAACAGTTTCCGATTGGATAGCATCTATCCTTGCTTTAAAAACATTTAGTGGAACCAAATTGCTCAGCTTCCATTCCTTTTGCAGACTGTTCCAAGTTAGCGGAGCTGCGCATCTAAAAGCTATTTTCCCTAAGACAGTCCAAGCAGTTGGCAAATTTAATAAAACCACAGCATTCGATCTCAGGCAGTAGCCACTTACAATTCGCCGTGAGATCAGGGAGCAGATGTAGGATGGAAGTTTCCCTAACATGGCTTTGTATATAAAAATGTACCAGTGACTGAGCTTCCGTACAGTTAGTGAAGGCAAACCTGCCCTTGCATACAGGGTACAGTGATGGGTTAATGCTTTACAGTTTGTCACAAATCTCAGTGCACTGTGATAGGCGGCATCTAACTTGATCAGGTAATGGGCAGGTGCATTCATATAGATCAGATCACCATAGTCCAGTACAGGTAAAAAGGTCACAGTGACTAGCCTTTTTCTGGCCTCAAGTGAGAAACAGGACTTGTTCCTGTAGAAGAAACCTAGCCTAACCCTCCGTTTTTTAAGCAGGTTATTGACATGAAGTTTAAAAGTGAGACAATCATCAAGCCAGATACCAAGGTATTTGTAACAGGTAACCACTTCAAGTTTTATCCCTTGCGTAGTTACAATATCTAAAACAGGCTCTGGTGTCTTTTTAGTTTTTGAAAAGAGCATTACCTTGGTTTTATCAACATTTAAAAGAAGCTTAAGCGCTGAGAGCTGAGTCTGAATAATGAGAAGCTTAATTTGTTTTTTTCTATCAATGTGTAACAGTTATCAAAATACTCATTAAAAGAAGGACAAGGAAAGAATAAAAGAAAAGGCCTATAAACAACACATTATGTAATGACTCAAGAACATTTTCATGTAATTATGTAATAAAACCCACATTTTGTAATAATCTGCTGCAGTCTGTAACAGCCTGAACGCAATATAAAATAAATTTCCCTGCATTTTGTAATAAATTATTACATTTTGCAATGGTTATTACAAAATGCGTGAGTTGCCCTTTTAAAAAACTGTAATATTCATTATGTAACCATAACCAAACTGTAAATATATCCCAAAATTGATGTTGATATACATGTTGGCTAATGAATATGGTAACACTTGATCTAGTTTTGGCCAATGAAAGATATTCTACTGAAATATTTTTAAATTATGATTAAGGATGATTCATGGTTGAATAAATAAATAAACAGTTGTAATGTTATTGTTTGCAACTCATTTTGTAATAACCACAGCAATATGTAATAATATATTTCAAAATGTGGCGACATGTATTACATATTTGCATTGAACTTGTTTACTACATAATGGGCAAATTATTACAAAAGGAGGTGTTATTACATAATGAAGGGAAAATGTATTACATTTTGTATAGGTATAGTTAATAAATGATGCATTGTTATTTCATACAGGGCCAAAAGAGCAGTCTGTTATCCTATTTAACAATCTTGTTTTTTGTTTCACCTGGTGACAACTTTAAACATGAGCTGATCACTCATTAAAACAAGGTCCGGAACAGGGCCAAAAAAACAGTCTTGTACCCTATTTGATCGTCAATCTTGTTTTTTTCGTGCCTTTACTCACAAATTCTTGTGTTAATGGATGTTCTTATATCTGATGTCTTGGTCCCTGGATGGTGGTTTACTACAGCATCTGTGGAACAGAACAATTACAAATAATTAGAAGTTCACAAAAGACAGCAGGAATTATAACAATATCCATAATATCTATATTAAAGCATGGGCTGGCTTGGTGAATACTGTGGGAATACAAATAGTGGAAGAATAGGCTTTGTACATTTTTGTCTGAGTGTGGCGCTACTGGTTGGTATATTTTATGGAATTTGGACCAAGCATCTGCATCTGTGACAGTTCTGTTTAAAACTTAAAAAAATGTAATTGCATTCATCTTTAAAGGTGGGGTAGGTACGTTTGAGAAACCGGCTCGAGATACACTTTTTGTTA